GAGTGAGAATAATTAATACAATCAAAATATATTCGTTGATTACAATGAAACTTGGAAGATTCAATGAATTAATAGATATTCGTTTGATAGGTATGTTAATAAAAAAGTAGTTTTCTTTTTGTCAACTTGTTGCATCCAAAGAAGTTTTACGATTCTCATAAGACGTCGTCAAACTGACCTCCGATAAAGTACATATAAGGCAAGAAAAGATGATTTCCTACATCATTTCGCACTTGATGTTTCTAAGAAAAACATTGAAACAAAATAAATATTCAGCCAATAATCTTTCCTGTTATTAAACATCTGTAGAACAATAGATCATAAAAATGTTAAATATCTTCGCACTTTCTTTGATTTTCTGCATCGCAACAACTTTGACTTATTCTGCGCTCTTGACGAAACCAAACAAAAGTATATCTTTCTTAAGTATTGGCTTACCTTAAAATTTTGTTTAGAAAATAATTTCGTGTAAAAAAAAATAATATCATTTGAATCTCTTTCTTATATTTATAATTTTATTCTCATTGCTACCTTGATATATGAAGCAAAGGGTTTGAATATATACTTTAAAAAATTATTTTGCATGAAAGAATAATAAACTTTGATATTGAATTGATTCAGATGTCATGTTAGTAAGATCAGACAGAAATGCTGATCTTCAAACTACTTATGGACATAGACATCATCAAGAAAATGAAGATGGATATAATTATGATAAATAAGCTGTGAACATTTATGTACATAATTTATAAACAAGAATGTAGCTATAAATTTTTAATGTAAAGTAATTTGTCCAATATGTAAATTTTGTTACACAGAATATTATTTTCAAATAAAACAACAAAATATTTAACAATACAGTTAAAATTGATTTATTGAGAAAAAGTTCCAACTCAATTTTTATAATTTCTCTTACACCAAACGACAACTAATATCGTCCGGATTTGAAATAATCGCTAATTTATAATAATAATCATACTTATTATTGTTCATAATTATCAGTAAAATATATCTTTAACATACACAAAATATACAATTTATTTCATTTACATGAAATATATAAAATATGTATATGCAATAAATTTACATGATTATGAGATACACTGATCATAATGTTACATTTTAATAATAAATAATTATAATGAAAATCTAATACAAAATATAAATTATAGAATAAAACATACATGTTAAAAATATATAAATGATCTTAAAATCGTTTTAATTTATTTTGTATAAAAATATTTCAATTATTTCTTCGATTTTATTGTTAAAAAATTATTAATCCTTATAGGATAATGAATAACAAAGAAAAACGTCTTGAAATATAAAACGATATCAGTAACAATATTTGTTCCGTGTATCTCCTCCAATTTTTGATTATCATTAATGTAACTATTAGGAAAAAGAAATAAAGTGTGATCTTATTTCATACACACATTACGTGGTATATAAAATAAAAAAACTTCTTTCGCAGAAAATCGCAGTATTAACGCACAAGTTTTACATCTCGATGCACATAAATTTGAAAAGAAAAAAAAAATAAAGTGAGAAATACGCAAGAAATGAAAACATGAAATATCAATTGTTATTATTTTTTGCTATATTAACAAGTGCAAGTTTTTCATCGAGTTTATAGTATGTTATTTTTATAGTTAGAATTTTATTATAGCTTTGACTGAAAATAATCAAGAGGTACCGGCACAAAACGAGAATCGATATGTACCAGAGGATTAATGTGTTGATAAAGAGTACCATGATCTTCAAGTTAACGAACGGATAGAAATAAATTTTGGAATTGTTCATTTAACAAGTTTAATTAAAAAATACCCTAAAAAATTCATAATTTATTAATTAATTGAAATTAATTAAATTTTTATTTTCAACATACTTCCTCTAATCGATTACATTAGTCATCTTAATAATTAACATGATACGAATGCATGGAACAAGAAGTAAACGTTTCAAAACCAGAAATTGTGATATCTGTAACATCTTACACCGAACCAATAGCACCTTCTACCGAAGCAACGGTGAATAACCGATCAAAAACTAGTCTTAGCAAAGATAAGAAGAAGACGACGTAAACGGCAAAGATAAAGATCCTGTTCTATCTTTCATACCTTTCAAGGGTAATTATCGTCATCAAGGTTATTCACACTTGAAGCATTCTTTTTCTAATGCATCCATTCGTTCTGGATCTCTAGATACTCACCTGCAGTGGTAACCGCCATATTAATAGTAGCTCCACCGGTAAAGGTGATGTTGCTACTTCTGTAGCGATGGTATATGGCGAATAATCAAATAGATGACCATCCTTACTTAATGATTATTAATAATAATAATGATAATAATAATATTTATAAATTAAAAAAAATAATTTTTCAGATAATTATTAATATTTAGTAAGTCTTAGTAACAATAGTTAAAAATTATGAAATACTCTTTTTAAGACTAATTGTCATTGAAAGGAATATAATAATTGAATGATTATTGTTTTTTGTTTTCCATTTAAAACGACGGATATTATCCGCGAAGGAATAAGTCGTAAATCAAAAGAATCGATCAACCGAACATAAAAAGATCGTTATTCTCGAGACTTAATTATAATGTTAATGAAAACAAAATGACGGCAATATTTGTACATAATTTCATAGTATGTCATTGCTATTGATCTTTTAAACTCGAAAGGAAAATATTGTACATGATATCTATAATTTTTTTTACATACTTGTCAAGGAAAAAAGTAATGAGAACGTTGTTCCAAATGATCAAATTGTAGAGTTTTCGCTTTACTCAAAAAAATATTCATACAATACAATAAAAAAGTACAATGTTACGTTTAAAACGTACTGACCATTGCAGCATCCAGCCTACTTGGATAGTAGAGCTTAACTAAATGATTCGTTCTCCTGATTTTCCAGAGTCACGACAAATTGCATTTGGAACTCGGCATAAAACATGATATTCATTCCTATGTAACTTAATAATTTTAATATTTTTTTATTTATTTTAATATTTGTATATCTATTTTAATATTTGTATACCTTAGAAATTGAATAAGGAGAACACCATTGTTGAATAAATCTTATCAAATTAAATTTTTCTTAATGCCGCGTTTCTACGAGACGTGAATTTAAAACGTCAATCACGTCGTTTCGCATGTTCTAGTATTTTTTACGCTTAGGTATTTTTGATTGTAGGAGTGAAATGTTTATATGGAATTATTAATATGAATAAGTAAAGAGAATTAAAAAGTATCATTATCGTTTAATTTTAACATACGCTGCGTGGAAAACCTGTTTCACGTTTTTTCTGTTACGACTGAAAATCAAATCGATTTGATCTTGTTACTACTGAGTCAGGTACGCATTAACGTTACAGGCAATCTTCACGATGGCACGTTTACAACAATCATAGTCGGCAAAAGCGTTATTTATGTTCGTGATTTTCCGTCACATAGAAATGCAGCGTAATATTGGAGTTTGTTACTACCATTTTTCATTATTAGACAAATAATTAATTCCAAATACGTCTTATAACATGTGGCGTATTTTTTTAATACGTTTCATTTTAATAATAAATAAAAGATCAATTTTTTTAATACGAAGCATTAAAAGCATCTTATTATTGATCATATTTTCATTATACCTGATTTATCATATTTCTTCTACTTTTTATTCTATTTTTTATGAACTTCAATTTTTTAGTTACACAATTTGAATCTGTTTAATAAACTTAGGATACAAACCTTCAATTAGGATTTGAATCTGTTTATAAACTTAGGATTATATAATATTAGGAATGTCCTAAAAGTTATTATATTAAAATATTTGAAATTTTGCCAACAACTTTTGGACCTCATTAAAGTAACTTTCTGATTATCGTAGTTATCATTATGTTCGAATTACTTTTTATACATTAAGGATAATCGCTATTAAATTATAATTTTAACATTAAAATGTTAATAATAAAATGTGTACCATTTTGAAAGTCTAAAATTGTAGTTTAAAATTTAAATAGTTCAGCCAATTTATTGCTATGAACAAAAAAGTTTATGAATAAACATAGATACAGTGGCGATGAAACAGTTTATAACACTTTACGTGAAACAATATGTACACCTTGAATGAATCACCTTGTATATCTTTTTAGATCGGTAGAAATCTGTGGAAAAAAACCGCAGTGTTGACCAAATTTTCATATTCAATCCATCACGAGGATCAAGCTTGTCAATGGAACCTTGGGTGTCATCTTAATAGTTGTCTTGAAAAAAAAATCATGAAGTTCCATTATCTCTTATATTAATATTATTTATATTATGTTAATATTTCAAAGGCAAATCCAGAATAAAAAATTAATTATATTACACTGTTTATTTAATGAATAGATACCTTTGCATGGGGTCTGTCTGTGAGAAAAAATGGAAAAAGAAAAAAAAGGCGTGTGCTTCGTTTGAGGTCTGCTGGAGGTCAAAGTCAAGGTCAAGGTCAATTTTGTGAAAAATTTTCTTTCATAAATCACCACCAATCTGAAGACGTAAAATACTACAGTGATAACCAATAAAAAACATTTCTTTACATCAAATATATTCCCAATATACACATTTTTATCTGTTTTGTACAAACAACACGTTCAATCATACATTCTACAATATTTTTCTTGTTTACATATTAAAAACGAAATTTAAATAATAAATTTACAAACTGATGAATCATCTCTGATTTTTATTCGATGAAATTATACAATTTAGCAAATGACATTCGGTTAATGAGAAAAATCGTAATATGAAAATAATAGATTAAAAAACAAAAACCGAACAAGAAAAAAATAATTAACTAGGAAGTAGAATAAATTTATTGATGTTTATCAGATTCGATCGATTAATACTCGTTTGGTAAGTATGTAAATATAATAGAAGTTTGTTTTTTTACTAGAAATATTATATAACGTTTGACGATTGTCTTATCAAATTGACATTTAACAGAATGTATATAAGGACAGAGAAGTTGATCATCTGCATCATTTCGCACTTCTCCTTTGTAAAGAATATAATAAGCAGTCGATTAATAATTTTCCTCGTTGTTAAAATTTGTGAAAAAATATAACGTAAAAATGTGGAAGATCCTCACATTTATTTTGCTTCTCTGCGTAGCAACAACTTTAGCTTTTCCTTCGATTCAAGCAGAAACAAACGAAGGTGAATCCTTAATTTAGATTTGGCTTCGAACTTCGTTTGGAAGAAAAGTTTGCGTGAAGAAAAAAAAAAGAAGAAATATCATTCAAAACTCTTTTATTCATAACATATTTGCATATTTTTATTTTTATTTTATTTTTATTTTATTTTTATTATAATTCTGAAATAAAAATCAAGGAATTTGGATATCCTTTTTTATCCTTTTTTATAAATTATTCCTCACGCATAATAACATAATTTATGTCGATGTTGTTTGAATTATTTCAGGCCCCATGTTGAACAGATTGAATAGAGCTGCTGATCATTATGGAGGTGGACATAATGGACATGGCGGTAGTAATGGACATGGTAGTGGACATGGCAGTGGACATGGCGGTGGACATGGCGGTGGATATGGTGGTGGACATGGCGGTGGACATGGGTAAATAAACTGCGAACGTTTATATAGAGTTTGTACTAAAAAAATGCTACGACAAAACTTTCAAAAATATGTAGAATAACCAGTAACTCGTCCAATATTATAATAACTATATTTTGTTATAAAGATTATTTTGAGATAAAACAAGATATTTGCCAATATTGTTACAATTCATTTTTATAATTTATATTACACTAAATAACAAGTGATATTGTCTGTATTTGATACAATTGTTAGTTTATAATAATAATTACGCATGTTATTGTTTATAATTATGAATAAAATAAAACGTAATATCTCTAACATACACGAAATATACAATTTATTTAATTTACGTGAAGTATATAAAATATATATGCGCATTATAATTGCATAATTATAAAGAACATCAATTACACTGACACATTCTAATAATCGATAATTATTATGAAAGTGTAATACAAAATATTGATTATATAATGAAACATACATATTTAAAATTTATAAACGATTGTAAAATCGTTCTAATCTTTTTTCTATGAAAATATATATTTTAATTAATTCCTCGATTTATACGTCACTCTTATTAGAAAATTATTAATGCTAGTAAGACAATGGAAAAAAAAAATAACGTCGTCTAATACGAAACGATATCAGTAACAGTCTTTGTTCTGTGTTTCTCCAATTTCCGATTGTCATTGAAGTTGCTACAAACACGAGATACCGTATGATCTTATTTCATACACATATTACGTGGAATATGGAATAAAAGAGCTTCCCTCGTGATAAATCGCAGTATTCACACGAAACTATTCTACCACGTCGCATATAACTTTCAAGAAGAAAAAGGAATAGAAAAAAAATAGAAAAAAAAGAAAAAAAATAGAAAGTGAGAAATACAGAAGAAACGAAAACATGAAATGTCAATTGATATTATTTTTCGCTATCGTAACAGGCGTAAGTTTTTCATGAAATTAATCATATATTACTTTTTATCCTTAAGAATATTATTTCACTATGAATAATTGGATATTTAATTGTTCTCTTATCAGATCCAATGTCGTTCGATAATACTCGATGAAATACGTAAGTTTATAACTATAAAATTTTATTTCTAATTATTTATAACGTAATAGAGACTTTAAATTGTACCGAGTAGGTAGGCAACTAGCGACCCGTATTTCTACTTGTCTTCTCCGGTGAAGTGAAAGAAAATGATTCTCACTTTTTAATACCGCCGTGCCTCGTGAATTATGTTTTTCTTTTTTTATGGATAATCGATTATTTACACACTGAAGAGAAAACAAGAAAACATAGGGAATAAAAAGAATTGGTGAATCGGGACATTTAAACGACAACATGTATCTCGAAAGTAAAAACGTGACATGTGCCATTTTTTCCTTACAACCACAGATATAATACTCATATTTCATCTATCCTTATTCTGTACAAAGATAAGGTGTAAAGAGAAAACCTCTAGGTTTATAAACATAGTGTTGGCCAGTTAAATAGTGGGGGAATAGTGGGGGATATTGATTGATAGTAAAGACCGTAGAGTCTAGGGTGGGAAAGAAGTTGCCCACCTATGCTGTAACGAATTGATTTTTTCGAAATGATTTCATATGCAAAAAAAAAAAGAGAAATAGAAATTTGACGTTTTCGAAAAAATACAGTTTAATTCATTAAAATTAAAAAAAAATATATCGTTAAAATAGCTAAAAATGACAGCGACAAATCGAAGAGAATCGAGCGATCGTTTGATGATGAAATGACAGATAGAATGGAGCAATTAGATTGGAAGAATGAACCCGAATCTACTACAAATGTATTTTGGTTACCTTCACCATTCATATATCCACCGGTAAGAAATTGATTTAATTCATATACATTCATTAAAATTTAATAATCAAAGATATTAAAATTTACTCAGATCGTGTAAGAACTAATCAAAAATGAATCGAAAGAAATAAGGATTTAAAAGAGAAAAGAAAAAAAAAAGAAAATAGATAAGTTGAGAACAACTGACTGATACAATTAATGTTACATTATAATAAACCTTATGTTATATATTTGTCAATATAAAATATTTGAGTATGTAAAATATTATTAATTAAAATTAATAATATTTTGTTTTCTTCGATTATAGTGGCTGCAATCTTCAAATCAATCTTTCTGGCAATTACCTGAGAAATATTTGAAAAGAAGTGAAAATTCTGATTCTACGTTAATGGAACAAAAAAACAACAAAGAAACTTGGAACAACGATAAATTATATATCGAAGAAGGGGCTAAAATGATCAAAACCTGTGCAGAACAAATTGACGATATGTTGCTTTTGATACAAAACGCTCTTGGCCAATTTCGAAAATATTTGAACGAGTGGTGCAGGTTAATTAATTTTAAAATGAAATTAATATTCTCAAGAAATATTCGTATTTTGAATTTATATATCATTTTAGGAATCATCATTCGATGGTCAAATTATCACCGGAATCATTCGATACATTTTATCTTCCTAAACATTGACTGAATATTTAGATATTAACATGAAATTTGAAAAAAAAAATCTGAACTCATCTTTATATTGCCAATATATTAATCTATCATCTTATAATATTAACCATATATCTATTCATTAACTTTTACATTTTATAACATTTATAATGCAATTAACTATATAAAACAAACAAATAAAAATTATTATAAAATAACAAATAAAAATATTCCAAATGAATATGAATCGTCTTTCTTGAAAAATAAAATATATTTAATCCCTCTACGATATAGCGGCGTAAGATGATCGATGATAAAATAAGTCTTTGAACTTTCGTTAGTAACAGACTAACAAGAATATTACAATACTTTCAATGGCGCTATTTAACACGTTTGATCGATAAAACAAATAGTTGCTGCTAACGACGACGTGTCATTTTCCTTAGAATTCATTTTAAAGTGATTTCTTCGGTTTAATCGGTAAGTTTTTTTATCATAATAAATAAATAAATATATTTTTTATTTAACAAAATTAAAATTATCAAAAAGTATTAAACGAATGTATCATAACTTTTCATTGAAATTAATTTCGTTAGATGAACGTATTAGAATTTTTCTATTCCTGTTATTTTCTCTCAGGAATCCGTCGTGCGAATATGTATATGTTCTTATATGTTTTTACAACACGTATATGTTCTTATAATTTATTTATTAAACATTAAATATAAGATTTTTATATTTGTCGTGATTTTAAATAACGTCTAATATATTCTATACGATTTTCATTTTACAAAAGAATAGATACGTTTGAAATCGTTTAAAGTTGTAATACTTTTCGTATAGTACCTATCAGCCATTACAAGTGAAAAGTTTGAAAAGTTAAATTAGAACTCTAAAATAGAAGTACCGACGGTTATCTCGGCTCGATTTAATCGACCTTCGTAATTCCGAGAGTTCTAATTTTCTCGTTACTTCAAATTTCTCATTTCCAATTTTAGCTCTTAGATTCTAATCATCTGAAATAAAATAAAATGTACCAGGTATTTATGATCTATTAAATCCATAGAGTGGCCCACATAAATTATTAGAAAATTAATGCATAAAATGATCCACATAAAGTGTTACAAAATTTAATGCACAGAATGGACTATATAAAATATTATAGAATGTATTAGCTAAAATTAAATGAATATAAATACATTATAAATATATATATCATAAATTATATATATATTTATATATTAAAATATATATTATATATATAATATCATATATGTATATATCTATGTATGTATGTATATATACACATATATGATACTAAAACTGGCTATCTTGTACCTGGTACGATATTATTATGTGAAAGAAAATCATAAAAATATTGCCAGAATGATACAACCATTTACTTCGCAAAACTTTCTAAGTTGTACGATACATGTGCAGCCATGCATGATTGTTATATGGTTTGGTAATGGAAGTTTTAATATTCTATTTCTTATAATGAGTTTCTAACATGCATTCTCGATTAAAAATGTACATTATCTTCAATTATTCGGTATTAAGTAAAGTGTACAAATTTTGATGAAAATTGAACTACAATGAACACGATAGACTATGTAAAAAAAAAAGTTAATCGTTCGAATAATTCCAAAACTAATTATAAGTCGAGTATAAGTGGTCTGATAAGACTTTCCTTTGATTATATTTTATTGATCAATCGATTGGATGTTAATCTGGAAATTTCCTATCGTGTTTGACAAATATATACATCGCGAAATGTCTTAAAAATAATTCATGTATCTTATAGGATAGAAATTAAAAAATTCATGTACTAATAAAAATAATAATAATCATTATGTGTAGAATTTCTATAAAAATGAAACTGGTACTCATAAAATATATGTTTTATGAAATATTATTATCTTATTTAATTAATTAATAATATAAATTAATAATAATAATTTTTAGTTAGAAATTTTTTTTAATTAATAATTTTTGTTTCTTTTTTTTTTAATCAATATCTATAATTTTTTCGCATATATATAGTAGTGATTATTTTCAATAAAAATTATATCTATTAAAAAATTGTTACTGCTTCGTTTGTGAGATTAACGAGAGATTAACGACTAACAGATTCGTAATGTGATTCATACTATATATTATAAAAATAAATTATTTACACATCAACCAGTCGTGTATTTGAGCGAATCGAAGTTTAATAATTCTGTTGAAGATATAGCCGACTTTAAAATATTTTTTTATTCTGATGAACGTTTATCAATTTGTCGCATGAAAAACCAACTACTTTAATACATAAAGTGTTAATTATCTCGTAAACAACGCATAATGGCATTTTTTTATCAGATATAATGACCATAACTATAAACGTAAATGACCATAACTTTTTCAAATGTGCAAAAAATAAATTATAGGTATCCATTTAAAAAGAATTATGTCGATCTTTATAAATTGAAAAAAAAAATAATTTACATAATAGCTAGCTCAGAGCTATGCAAATTACTTTTATTAAAATTTTTTGTAACTTCGATCGCGAGATAATTGCATAGACATCTATGAATATACATTCTGTATGCTAAGATAATTATTAATACATTATTATAATTTAAACCAGCTTTTCCCAAAACTATGTTCTTAAACAAAAACACAAATTATAAAAATTAATATTATTTTATTATTTTCATATATTTTGTTCCACATTATTAAAAGTTGAGAATAAAAGTTTATATTGTTTTTTTAACTCTTATATTTATTTTTGTAATTTATTTATTATTAATATCAACCTACCCTATAAAATAATCAAGGTATTTCGTTAAAAATTCAAGATTTGTGAAGTAATAGTTTGAAAAACGCCAATTCAAACGATGATAATAATAATTTCATATCGAGGGAAAAAAAATAATAAAAATAATACTGTAACAAATTTTAATTGTATTGTATAAATAGGCAATTTGTTTTGAAAAAAGAAAATATGTCAAACGAGAAACCAAAAGGCATTAACCCGAGAATGCACGAAAACGAACAAACATTGAAACTCAGCGTCGGCGCCGACGTCGAAGGTAACGGAGGGGTAGACGCCGTTCATGTTACAACGACTCTCATGAAAAGCGTTTCCTTATTTCTCACGAGTGCTTGGAAGGCCTCGGTGAACATAAAAAGGCCGTCTTCAGTGAAGCCAACGAAACAAGAGCCACGACCTCTGCATAAAAAAAAAATGCCGGAAAGCGGAAACGCCAGAAATTCCGCTTACATTGTCAAGGTTATCGAGTCTCTCAAGAAGAGGACCAAATTTAACAGGTCTGACGAAATTATTATTAATTTTTTTTTTCTTACTTTTTCTTTCTCCTCTTTCTTTATTTTTTATTTTATTATTACTATCTTAACAATGTCCTGGATAGATCGTTTGATTCGCGAATAGAATATGAGTATTCGTAATTCGAAATAGAAATAATCAAAGAAAAAATAATGTAATAAAAAAAAATGTTACATTTTCAATAACATTCTCGAAATCGTTCATTTTCAATCGTTACTATATACTTTGTGGGTATTTAATAATTTGTAAAAAAAAAAAAGAAGAAAAAAAATATATTTCAAATCTCGTCCATGTGTGTTATAGAACAGAATTAGATGGACTCTGCAAACTATATAAGAAATTAATGATGCAAACTGGCCACCAACAAGTGAATCTATCGATGGACATTTACAGAAAGCCAAGACCAATGCACAGTGTGGAGGTAATTCGAATAATATGTACTTTTTTCTTTCTTTCTTTTTTACAAATCATTTATTAAAATATAATTCAATAATCAATAGTAAAAATTTATACTTTAGGGAATCGATAGATCTATTTTTCGCGATCTTCTTCACAATACTTTCAAAGTTATAACCGAAGATACGTTGGTAGAACGATTGTTTTGTTGTTGGGATCGCGAAAATGAAGGTACTATTAAATTAGAATCGTGGATCGTGGGTCTCGATGTTTTCCTCCGTGGCAATCTACAGGATAAAACCGATTTCTGCTTTCGTGTTTACGATTTAAATAATGATGGTTTTATTACGAAAGATGAGATCTTCCAATTGTTTAAGTATGTATATATCATATTAAAACTTTTAATTATTTTCAAATAACTATGAAAATTTTAGATGTAATATTATAAACAATAAATTGCTTATCGAGATAATTAATACATATTATTATATCGTTAACATTAATTGCGGATCCCTGGTGATAGGCAATACATCATATTCTATCTATAAATCAATTTCGACTCGGTGACAGTCAATACGGCAATACACACATATAATACGAAACAATATCATATCAGGATCAAAAAAATAATTGATAAAAGATGATAATATTATCAATCGAGTATAAAGTATTGCCTTTATTTAGGAACAATATTTATATTTTCATATAAATAATTATAGGGAATAAATAATTAAATCTATTGATTATTAAAAATTTTAAACATTAATTAAAAATCTTAAAATTTTCCTAGTTCTTTCATAATAAAAATTAAAATACTCGATAGGCGTAACTATACTTTTTAATATTTTATCTTAAATGAAAATCATATAAAGTATTCTATTTTTATTTATGCTGTCAATTCTTAAATTGATATTCTTACGTTTTTAAGAAACTGTTTAATAAAGCAACCAGGAGAAGAAGATCCGGATGAGGGAATACGAGATTTATCAGAATTGACTTTGAAAAAACTCGATGTCAATCGCGATGGAAAAATATCATTTCAAGATTATGAAACGGCAATTAGAAAAGAACCATTGCTACTCGAAGCTTTCGGACAGTGTTTACCTACGGAAGAAAATTGTACAGCCTTTATCAAATCGTTACAATATTGAAACCATTGTCACCCATATCGATTTCATCTTGATTTGAAATATTGCAGAAAAGTAAGGAATTTCATTCCGAATATTACATAATATGGAAGAACACAATAAGAAATGTGTTATAAAAGGAGAAGTTCGTATAATGAAAACAATTAAGAACTTATATTTTATTACATACGAAAGATTTTCTTGTATATTGGAAACATATACTTATGCGAATTTTAATGTTAAAAATCTATCGCAGATATGCTTGAAGAGGCAACTTTACTTTTTGCATTTTCATTCATATTTGTATTCAATATATGTTTAACTTTATTAGATTTACCAATTCCCAATTTTGGAAGTCCCCTATTCAAACCTTCCAATAATATACAAGCTTTACATAATTCCTGACTCGAAACAAATCCACAATTATTACAATGCCTTCGTTCTGGATTTTTTACATTGCTCTTTACTTGCATTCTTTCACCTAACATTAAAATTTAATGATCTATGTATTATAGATATTAAAAAAATAAATATTAACTGTTATAATGAAATTCTTATTTTAAAAATATACATACCAGAATGAATAATATCTATGATAGACGATGGTCTTACTTTTTCCAAATCTTTTAAAAATGTTCGAGCATATCCTCGATAAGCATTAGGAGCATATATGCATTCGGTAGAAAAATAAATTAATTTTTGAAAGTGTGCATACATAACAATCTCTTTTTCGTAAGCGTATTTCAATGGTTTGCATCTAACAATAGCATCAGCTCCTGACTATAATAAAAAGTAAGACATTTCAAATCATCCTGCATTTCGTATTAATTTTGTTTATAAAATTTTGAAATTATCTAACCGTTATTATAGCCGTACATCTTTGCAACCGAGCAATGTCACCACGTAAAATATTCATTAAAACTGTCTCAGCTATGTCATCGGCATTGTGACCTGTTGCAATACAATCCACACCTAATAAAGCACCTCCTCTATCTAATGCCTGTCTTCGAAATACACCACAGAAAGTACAATTATTTTTTCTGCCAATCTACAATTGATTTTAAACAAACAAATGTTTATTTTATGGACACATTAATGTGTTCATATATGATGCTTAATGTATTACAAATGATAAATGTATGGCTTACTTGTTCTACTATAGCATCCATTGTCCATCCATATATATCTTTGTATGATAATATTTTTAATGGTATACCATAATCATCTCTATTTTTTTCCACAGTTTCCAAACTATCATCTCGGTATCCTATAGGTATATTAAATCAATAAAAAATTATTTTTACTTGTTATTTTGTTATATATTTCATCAATTTACCAGTAATTCCTTCATCAATGGATAAAAGAAATAAGTCAAGCTTATAATCATAGCGTTCATTCAAAGTTTTCAATACATATGCTAATACTGTTGAATCTTTTCCACCTGATGCTCCTATAGCAACTTTATTGCCAGGTTTAAATAATTTTCCTTTTACAATGGTGTAATGTATTTCGGTTTCAAAGGCATAGATAAAACATTCTTTACATAATGTATCACCGGTCTTAGGTCTCTGATAAAAGTATTAAATTCCAAAATAATTAGTAAATATTTTATAATATAATTTAGAATACATATGGTGAAAATTATATACTTACTTTAAGAATAGCATTTTTACCACAATTTCTAGTACACTGAATAGGCATTTTGAATAGTATTATTTAATTTCTTGATATATAAAATTGGTTTTATAATCAAATGTATAAGATATATATATTTAACTAATAATATTTATTTAAAAACTTAAATGTCTAACATATGTATCATTACTTAAGAATATACTCAAATCTTAAATATTTTATTTTCAAAACCCTAAAACAAAAAAGGAATAAATGAAATAAGAATTATATAATTTATGATCAAAATAGTATAAACATACGGAACATGGATCTTCTTTATTACACACAATTAATTTGTCAATAATACTTAAAAATAATACTCCAATCCATAGATTAAATTTATCTTTAATAACCTCTCTATTCGCAGACATTAAAATAATTATTTCTTACGTTTAATCTTCTGGCTTCTCTGGAGGAGGACCACAAGGTTGTAGCATCTTTTCCATAAGATTAAATCGCACACGTGCCTTAGTTTCGTTCTCAGCGATTGCAAAGAAATTTAATAAATCATAATGTCCCATGTATGAGCTACAAGAATCCCGATGTTGATTCACAAGCCACTCGAATTTTGTTGTATCTGCATGTCCAGTTCCAATATATTTAGATTGCAAATGTTCTAACTGACTATGTATATTATAACGTTCACCCATACTTTTTATTTTACTTCTCTACTTTCTTATAAAGATTATAGAAAATTCTATAAATTATACTTTTGTCTGAAACAATCTTAAAATTATTTCTTAATTATTTCTTCCTATATTTTATTTAATTAATTATATTCCAAGTAAATATAAAGACATATTACTATTCATATTGCCAACCTACTATATACTATAAATACAATATTACCCTAATAAAAGTACTAACATTAGATTGCCAAATTTTCTAACCTATTTATGACATACAACTGCGCAGACGCGTTATGACGATATGATAGAATAAGCAGACTTGAATAGACTATAAAACGAGGAACATACAAGTAGCATGCTTTGTTATAAACATAACCTTTATACTATAATCATAGAATAATAAGTAATGTTGTTCATTGACATAAGATGATAATTAATATATTTTAATTAATTATTATATATGTATATATTATATATAATTTCATATAAAATGGAGTACTTCAACGAAACATCAAATAATATGGATAATAAACCAAGGTTAACAAAACTTGGAATTAGTCTTATAGCAGTAACAGGTATATAATTAATGTTTAATTTTACACATATCCTTTTTATTTTAGTTTGATAATAGCCTTTTTAATAATGATTTATCCACTAGGAGGATTGGCAACAGCTATTAGCATAGTATGCATACCTTTTGTGAGTCCAGCATTTCGCAAGATCTGTTTACCTTATGTACCAGCCACGAATCAACAAGTACAGAACGTTTTACAAGCTCTAAAAGGACGTTCAGGTTCATTGATTGATCTTGGGAGTGGAGATGGACGTATTGTAAGTCATAAAATATTACTTAAATATGAAAGAACAACAGAACAATCTTTAACAAATAAAAATGTTGTTTTTTTAAATAGGTTTTAGCAGCAGCAAAAGCTGGTTTTAAGTCATATGGTATAGAATTAAATCCATGGCTTGTATGGTATTCTAGACTAACAGCTTTTACAAATGGTCTGTCATCTCAGACTCGATTCTTTAGAAGAAATTTATGGAAGTGTAATTTACAAAATTATAATAATGTGATTTTATTTGGGGTTGAACAAATGGTATTATTTTTTATTTTATTTTATTTAATTTCATATATTTGTATACAATATCAAATCACTTTTATAGATGGAAGATATTGAACAAAAATTTAATACAGAATTACAAAAAGATTCTGTAATAATAGTCTGTAGATTTCCTCTTCCTAATACAAATCCAATTGCAACCATTGGCGAAGGTGTTGATACTGTGTGGTTATACAAAAGATAAAAATGCAAACTTCAGAATAAAATAGGTAATACAATTTATTTTCTTTATTAAATAAATTATATTTATCTATGTAATTGCTGGACGTATATTGATTATCATACTATTAAATATTTATAATTGCAAAAAGTACAAAATGAGATACAAATGTGTATTTCAGAGAAGTTTTCTCTATTTGTTGCTAAATTACAATAATATTAATTAAAGTAATAATAATAATAATAACAAACGTACAAGACATTTAAATATCTTTAACAAAATTTATACATTTTATTATATAAAATTAAATATGAATTTATAATAATGATTTTGTCAAAGCATTACATCTAATATCAATGATCAACTATAAAAAATTGAGCTATAAGGTTTAATATACCAATAATTGGTATAATTAAATGTACAATTGTTGAAATTGTAGTCAATTTTCCTTGCTTTCGTAGAAAAGATAAATGAAGTAAACATGGTAAAGTAAATACATAAATTAAGCCACTTAAAGCACCGGTATATCTTATAACAGTTCCAATGTATGGTAAAAATGTAGCAAATAATATACAGATCGAAATCAAAATGAAATTGGTTATTACTGTGCTATATATGGTAGATGTCTTACATAGTGATGAAATCAATTGAATTCTTAACATATATGTGAGTAATGGGTAAACAGTTAATAGTTGAAATAATAATACTATACGAGCAACTATTGTTAAAGCATCCCATTCTTTAAAATTATTTAATAAGTTCTGTAAAAAAGACAAAGTATATAAATTCATTAACTTCAAATTTTTAATTATTTTGTATAGTATAATTACTTACATCTTGAATACATGATTTGGCAAGAGGAAAACACACAAAAAATAATACACCTACTATAATGTAGGTTATTGTAACGAGACCATATGCTATCGTTAAGTCTCTACCCTATAACAAACAATTGTAAAACAATTGAAAACAATTTTATAAACCTTTTCATTTATACAAGTATTATTTATATATATATATATATATATATATATATATATATATATAATTAATATATATATATATAAATTTACTTACATTTTTAGATTGATCACAATTACTTTGCATTATAGTAATTATAATATTGTGAATGAAAAATGATAATGCTAGCATACCAGACAATGCTGGAAATGTAGGTTTCAATACCCAACTAATTTCCCACATTGCTTTATCCATATGTATTCCCCATGATGCGGATTTTATTAAAACAAATATAATTATATATATAATTGATACAGTTCCTAAAAAATATAGAATGTATGTATATGAAATGAATTATTTATAAATGATATTAACAAAAATGTTATTCATTTTTAAGATAATATTGTTGTGTTACCAAGGGAATTGAATTTCGTGAAAAATGTGGTGCTATTGAAGTTAAGTAGCGGAAATATTATTATAGCTAAAAATGCAGGTACTGTTTTGTGCAAATCCCATGCTGGACCTAAAGCATCAAATGTGCGTTCTTGTGCCATTATTATATCACTGCCATTATACATTTCTTTTCTTGTACACAAAACTGTAAATAAGATGATACATTTTTTATTTTAAAAAAGTGTAATAAATTACAATTAATTAACATTGATGATTCTTATAAATATGGATAACCATGAAACATAAAGAGAAACACAGATATTAAACGAACAAGCATATTGAACAAACAGGCGTATGTTAAAGCAGTTAATATTTCGAATTAATATTTTCTAAACACAAAAATGTAAATTTAACATAGATACGGTTGTTTAACTATGATACGAAATTATATTGAAATGTTTCATTGTGACTCTCTTTACGTAACTAACATTATCTTTACTAGGAAGTAAACTTCTTAATTCGAAATAAATATGTACTTTCTGCAATATCTGTATTATTATCAGTTATAGAATACGTAGGCAGTCCCATCACATTATCTAAAATGTAATGTAAATTTGAATTAGTTATAATTATCTTTCTAATACAAAGTGAAATACATTCTTGACATTGCATAATCTTACCATAAAAAAAATTAACTGAATTATATAAAAAATTAGACATCAATATCCAATAGGCTATCATTGCACCTAACAAAACTGAAATACTAAAGATCCTTGCTATGTATTCTACCCATTTGTTAAGATATATTCGACTCAACTGTACAACTTCGATGTTCTCTCGTGAACCTTGAAAAAAGTAACAATTAGGCTATTGTCATGAAAAAAAATTGTTTCTCTTTTTGCTTTCATTATTAGCTCACCATGGTATTGATGTACGACTATTAAACGATAAGCAGTGTAAAGACACAAAGCACCCATTGCTAATACAAGAATAATTCCAGGAAAAAAACCCGCCATTTGAATACCCCATGGCATAGTAAGCAAAGATGAGCCCAATATCGTGTTCCATATTGAGAAACTAAAAATAAACGTGAAGAGATGATTATTTTAGAAAATGATAATGCTAAATAATGATAATGCTAAAGATTTGAAGTTCGGTTTCACAATTTTGGACTTTGGATTAAACTAATAAGCAAGGATATTTCAGGGAAACGAATATTCTTCACATATATGGGTGAGATAATAATTTTAACATATCGCTACGTTAAAGTTACATAGGGGGTATCTGATAATTATTTGATTATATTGTAAATAAGTTTTTTTTAAGTAAAATTTATTCTAGTAAATATCTAATTATATTTAATATTTATTAATTAACTAATTTAATATCTAATATATTTTGGATTTAGAGATAATTTTATAATAATCATTAATAAAACTCAATAGACATTGAAACTTATATATGATTTAACCTAATCTTGCAACCTTGAACATATAAAATTGTGAGAAGTTAGAGAATATTTTGTTAAATAAAATTTATTATTATCGTAATGTTATTCTCTCTTCTATTCTATTAAAATTCTATTAAAGAAATTTATTCTAATTATCGTAACAGAAATAAATATTTTAATTGATAATAATTATCGGACCACCTTGTATATTAAATCTGTCTCAATGCAAAATAAATCGTGTAATAATATAATTATCGACTTGCCAAATAAAAGTCGAAGCATTTATTTTCTGATCGTGAAAACAAAAAAAAAAAGGAACAAAAAGAAAACAAAAAATAGATCAATACTCCGAGAGCTTTTCCCCTCTCGATAAAATACGATTGGTTGAGCTAGAAAATATTCAAAGTTCTAAAAATACATTTAGAAATAGTCTCTTGATTGATACAGTCTTATCTCTTAATTAGTCGGAATAGTATTAATTAACCATCCTCAAACATGATCAAAATTAATTCGACAAATATAAAGTTTGAAGAATAATGAAGGTAGAATGGAGGAACAGAAAAAAAGAGGACATATTAGAAATAAAAATTAATTCGAATATATTTTATTCGAAAGAAAAATATATCTTGTAAAGGTCCTGAAAAAAATTTAAGAAAAGAAATGTCTATAAAATATCATTGAACATAGGACACACCTCTTAGATACAAGCGCATACTGGAAATGCCTGGTAGGAAGGTTCGACGGTGCTAAGGGCATTGACCCGTCTTCGTCTGCCGACAGAGGGTGGTGAGGTGAAGTTAGGTAGTAGGGAAGATGGGAGGAAGGGATAGAAGGGGAGAGAGAAGTTCGTCTGTCGCCCGGGCAACAGACAGACACAGAGAGAGCACTAACCCTTTCGATACGGAGGTGAACGCAAGCAGAGAGAACGTTTGCTGCATGCAAACCGGTCGGACACCGGCTCCTGGTACAACCAGCCGAAAAAAAGACCGTTTTTATTGTCGTCTTTATTAGAGAACATTGTTAAAATTATAAAGAACAGTTTAATAGACGTTCGAAAGAACGTTATTTATTTTCTTGTATATTCATGGCGTCGTTCTGATAAAAACTCGTCTCTTATTCATGAACGAAATTCGTCGTTGTCGTCGTCATTGTCGTCATCGTTGTCGTTGTCGTTGTTATACTACGTTCGATTATTTTTCTCATCGATCAGGTTCTTCATGTGTTGGGCGTGGATGCAAGATTCATCATCATACACGCGTTCACGACAACTCGTACGAAGGTCGACGACCGTTGTTCGTTTAAAATCGTCGTTCAAACAATGACCATAATGCGGTAAGTTCGAATTGTAATTGTAAAATGTTGAATAAAAATGTAGTAATCGTGTTCGTTAAGAAATCTATGATCTTTAATCGTAAAATATCTTCGCGAAATCACTTATAGAAAGAGAGAGAGAGAGAAAATGTTTAAAATTTATGAGCTTATTTGATTAGTTAGCAATGACACGTTTTGCGATGACCCAATTAGGATAACGTTTACAAGTAAAAGCGATTTTAAAAGACGAAGTTTGTCAATTATATGGCTTTAGCACAGAGAGATAACCCTTTAGATAAAATTATGAAACACACGCATAATTATTCTGTGCTTTCTGAATAAACTTATAACGTGTTTTTTGAACTTCGATTTTTTTTCTTTTTTGCATATATACATATATATATATATATATATATATATATATATATATATATATATATATAATATATATGTATATATATATATATATGTGTATTTTCATAACATTTCTGTATCAATTGACAAGAGATGGGAAAATTCAATTTAATTATAACGAATTATTACTTGAATCTATGATTATTCGAAATAAATAAAAAAAGAAATAAATACAAATCGTTTGATAACTTCTCTGAACTTTGAACTACAAAAGAGCGGGAAGCTCGTTAACAAATCAAGAAAATTAGAACTATGGATATTTTTACCGATATTTATCATCAATCACAATCAATATTTTCAGATTATATTTTTGTATCTCCATTTCGAATATAAATATTACTGAGCAACAAGATATCGCGCCTTTATCAGCGTCTATAACATGTAAAAAATGAAATGATTTCTGATGCAAACTTTACTCTGAATATATCATTCATCCTTTCCTATTTTTTGTGAAACGTATAAATACTCATATATCTCTTATAATTTATCTTTACATGGAAGTAAAAAATTATCTTTTTTCTTTTTTATGTACTCATAAATGTTACTTACATTGTGACTAAAGAACTTTGTTTTGGCTTAATATCTTTATTTGAAATCTCGATACTCTCATGTCGTATTGTTAAGTTGCTTGATAGATATTCTATATTATATTCCTTCGACAATGATTGCTCATTACTTTCATCATATCTTTTGTTCCTTATCTAATTTAGTAACATAGAATCAAATAAGAATGCTAAAATCGTACATATACTAGTTTCCTAATACTTTGATATTCTTACCGAGCTACAGTTATGTATTCCGTAGCATTGACATATATCTGCTGGTGTAGATGTATTATCTTGTAAAACAGGAAGTAATCTTTTTGGAAAAATAGTAGCCATTGAATTTAAGCTGTCAGCTTCTATATTATCATGTCTTTAAAACATATAGATGCTTGTTAATAAATGAAAAGAAATTACATAATAAATTACATAATACATTGGAAAGCACATAATATATTAGATTACATCTAATGTATTTTAATATCTGTTTGAATTATCTACGTACTGAAATTCTAAATCACTTATTTCAGAATTTTGAAATATAACTGATCCATGACTACAATGAGAATCTGAAGAAAGTAATGGTGTACTTTCCGATCCGCTATCATGGTATGTATTTCTACCTTTCCAATGATCAGTAGACATATACATAATTTTATCCTAGCAATAAACAAACTAAGTATTATTATAATAATAATAATAATTGCATGCGATGTAAATCTAATTGAATGCATTATACATATTGTTGTGAAAAAAACAAACTAACAAAAAAAATCATTGTATAACGTACGTTTTTAAATTCAGCAACACATGATAATTAAACAGGATCTCATAAATATTTCTTTTCTACGTATTTCTTCAAATAAAATATGAATTAATAAGATCTTAAAATACTTATAAATAATTATGCACAATAATTTTAATTATATTAATTCTTTTTAAAAAGAAAAAAAGAAAGGAACAGAACACCACTATGATATTTAAAGCACATGTTTTCACTACAAAGTCTATTGGAAAACTGTATTCGAGATAGCTATGTATCCGTTTTGTAAACCCGAACTTATATCAGGGATCCTTGATATAATATATACGCCCTCTTCCCCGGCTTTGTTCGTGTTCTTATTTTGCTTATTGATGGTTACCACGAACTGCTTTATGCGTGCGTAAGCATCGACATTTTTTTTTTTTTTTAACTTGATCTTGGGCTTTTCTAGAAGCGTAAATGCGATAATGCAAAATGAAACTTTCGAAACATGGTTATATCTATGAAGATATTAATTATACATAAGATTTAACTCTTCTTATTTTTCAATAATTTTTTTTTAACCGATCATTTGAATTGATCCTTTTTTTTTTTTATTTTCATATCTTATATATTAATATTAAAATATTACATATTTTATAAATTAAAATAAACCATTTCCTTATATTTTTCAAATACTCCATATTCTATTCAAAAGTAACGCATAACAATTTATTTATTTATCGGAATGACAGAGAGGTCAAATATCGGATATTTAATCGTATACCGAAGTCATAATCAAAGTCAAATAAAAATTATGAAATCCAGTATTGTGTAAATACAAGAAATAATGATTTATCTCCATTGATAATTTCTTTATTACTTTGAGTTTGATTAGTGTTAAGAAACGATCAAAAATTAATTAAAATTATTGATCGACTTTATTTTTTTTTTTTATTTCTTTTTCTTTTTTTAAGCGTTCTATAAGACATGCATTTTATCTTGTTTAGAAATACCGAGATACATATGTTTTTAGTTCTGTTTCTAAGTGGTGGCGCGATTTTTCAAGATGGTTGATTCGTGCCCTTGAATGTCATTGGCAGCGAAGTCAGGCACCGTCAGTAGAATTTAGTCTGCCAGCAGACGTTGGCGAAGTTTCTTGTGTCTTGAAGCTATACACATATTTTTATTTTATTATAAATAATTTTCAAAGAAACTCTTCATTTTCTTTTCAGTTGCTTTTAAATATATTAAAAAAAAAAAAACATGTCCATCGCAGTGAACAGTCTATCAGTGGAAACCAAAGTGTACGAAGGCCAAAAGCCGGGTACGTCTGGACTTCGAAAAGCTGTTCGGGTTTTTCAACAGGAACATTACACTGAAAATTTTATCCAAGCGATACTCGATGCTTTGGGTTCCCAATGTGTCGGATGTACTCTTGTTGTTGGTGGTGATGGACGTTATTATGGGAAAGATGCTGTTAAAAAGATTATTAGAATCACTGCGGCCAATGGGGTATGTCTATCGAGTAAAACACATTTATTTTTAATATTATTATATGTATATTTAAATGTAACTTAGTAGAAATTATATTATCTAAGTTGTCTCGTTGCATGCCTTTATAGTTTATAGTTAAAAAAACTTGATTTTATTTATGATAAAAGTAATACATATACGATCTTATTAGGTTATTACTTAATTATTTTTATTTCTGTTATACTTGGCAACATTAGCTGGCGAAAATGAAGAGTAATGTGACAATGACATCTATTATTTTAGGTAAGAAGGTTAATAGTTGGACAAAATGGGATCCTTTCTACACCAGCTGTATCTGCTATAATACGTAAATACAAAACACAAGGAGGAATAGTGTTAACGGCATCGCATAATCCTGGTGGTCCTAATGCTGATTTTGGAATAAAATTTAATTGTGAAAATGGAGGACCTGCCCCAGATGGAGTAACAAATGAAATTTATGAAATCACTAAAACGCTCAAAAGTTATAAAATAATACCTGAGATAAACGTAGATATTGATAAAATTCAAAACGTTTCTATTCAAGTTGATGGGAAACCATTTGATATTGATATAATAGATTCTGTAAATGATTACTTAGAGCTTATGAAAAACATTTTTGATTTTGCTAGTATTAAAAGTTTATTGCAAGGAAGCAAACAAAGACCAGCTTTCAAGGTCCTTATTAATGGAATGAATGGAGGTATTATGAAGATTTTATATAATTTTCAAATAGAAATTTATATTTACCAATGATAGAATAATCAATATTATCTTCTAGTTACGGGACCTTATATAAAACGTATATTCAGTGATGAATTAGGTGCGGATAATTCAAGTCTTGTTAATATAACTCCATTAGAAGATTTTGGGGGACTTCATCCTGATCCAAATTTAACTTATGCAATAGATTTGGTAAACGCCATGAAAAATAACCCTAAAAATGATTTTGGAGCTGCTTTTGATGGAGATGGAGATAGAAATATGGTAATAACATTGAATCTGAACAAATTATATAAAATAAAGTAAACAAATTTTTTTATTAAAATTGCTACTTCAAAATTGTTACAGATACTAGGAAAAAATGCATTCTTTGTAACACCTACTGATTCATTAGCAGTATTGGCTGCTAATTTGACATTAATTCCTTATTTTCAAAAGACCGGCGTTAAAGGTTATGCAAGATCTATGCCAACAGGTGCTGCTGTAGATAGAGTAGCTCTTAAAGGTGGAGTTACATGTTTTGAAGTACCTACTGGTTGGAAGTATTTTGGTACATATTATGATTAATAGATTCTTTTATATAGTATGTTTCATATAGTATGTTATAGAATAATTAATTAAATAAATTATTAGGAAATTTGATGGATGCTGGTCGTCTATCACTTTGTGGAGAAGAAAGCTTTGGTACAGGCTCTGATCATATACGCGAAAAAGATGGTATATGGGCTTGTCTTGCATGGCTCAATGTTATCGCAAAGCTTGGGAAATCTGTTCAAGACGTATTATTAGATCATTGGAAAAGTTATGGACGCAATTTCTTTACAAGGTATAAATTATATATTGTACTGTTGCAATAGATAATGACTTGAGATTTATTTATACCACTGTTATGTAATACATATGTTTTCAGATATGACTATGAGAATTGTGAAGTAGAAAATGCAAATAAAGTGATACAGGAGGTCGAAACTGCAATTCAAAAAGCAGGATTTGTTGGTACAACATTATCCTCTGGAAATAAAACTTATACTGTCAAACTTGCAGACAATTACTCATATACTGATCCTATTGATGGAAGTCAAGCCAATAAACAGGTAGGATTTAAGCTTTTCATAGTCTCACAAATTTATTTTAATTATTATTATTATTATTATTATTATTATTATTATTATTATTATTATTATTATTATTGTTATTATTATATTATTTTATAAATTAGGGCCTACGGATATTATTTGAAGATGGTTCTCGTATAATATATCGTTTATCCGGAACTGGAAGTTCGGGAGCAACGATTCGTTTATATATTGATAGCTATGAAAATGATCCATCTGTTTATGAAAAAGATGCTCAACAAATTTTAAAACCGTTAGTTAACATTGCATTAGATTTAAGTAAATTATCTCAGCATACTGGACGCGATGCGCCAACTGTCATTACATAAAGAGGTAATGCATATTGTTCTCATTACAATATTTCTAGGTTACAGTTTTACTCATAATTTCATAATAAAAAAGTAAAACTGTTTGTGAATATAAAACAACTTGTGCCATTTTATTATTATAATTAGGACGGATTAACATTGGAAAATTTCATTGTCCATTATTTAGTAATCTTTCCATTTTTATACAGATTTTTACTTACATTAATATAAAAGCAATATATTAATGTCTTGTTATAATAGCACACTATTCATATAGTGTCATAATCATTGTGTTAATGTATCATTAAACTTAAAACTTAATGAGTAAAGGTATTAATGATACTATAACTTAGATACATTTTTCGAATTAAACAATTTCTTACACCAAATAAAAATTAGGGAAAAAGAAAACAATAGAAATGTTTTGTTACAATATAAAAATAATCTCATAACATCGTACTACTGCAAAATTATTCTACTATTCTTTTATTTAGCTTTTATTATATTAGTATGCACGTATTTAAAAATATTAATTTTATAAAACAAATAAGTTTTATATTAATATAGAAGAAGTCGACACTAAAATTCGCATTTTAATACAAATCTTATTAATTATATTCAATTAATAACCGTTGTACACAAGTAATATAATGTAAATTTCTTGGTGTAAATTTTGATTATATTAGTAGTGATTGCTACTAGTGATATATGATTAGTAAATGGTTCAATGACATCTGACACGGATATTAAGTTTAAATTATACTCTATCTTCTTACAAAACCAATAAAAATACATTTATGAATAAATATATACTGAAAGAAGAACACACAGTTACTATAAAAAGCATTAATTATGGAAGTTGAAAATATATGTAGAAGTATCTTACGGGATGAATAGTAAAATATATACTTTCCTCTAATAATTAATTCATATTTTGTAATAGTATATAATAAAGACATAAAGTTATAATTGATACATAGATTCTATTAACTATAAAAACTGCACTCAATGCACTATTATTTAATTGTTACAACAATAATAAAGTTAAAACCGTGTTACTTGTCAGTTTACTAAATCATTTAAACTAATATGAACTATTAAATCTATAGAACGTATAATTACGTATTTTGTTTATTTTATTGCTGTATATTATATTAGATATTCTTTATATATTAGTAACAATTATTTATGAATACAAAGTTTTATGTTGTATTTATCATGCTTCACTTATGTGATTATTTAAAAAAAAAAAAAATAAAAAAAAGATAAAAAAAAAATAAAAAAAAAATATCCGACACTATAATAATAAAATATTACGTCGGAATTTGTATTCTATTACAACTATATTAATGTCTTGATATTGGTCTTGATAAAGTAAATGAGACATAGAAAGAAGCACGAGTATATAAATTGCTTGGACGGTTCTCCAAGGATTGTGAAAAAGAAATTTTATTTCTAAGATCAATACGTCATAAAGCTTGGAGAAACATATATCTTTATGTAGGTATGATTCCTAATCACCGAGATACTTAGCATATAATGTATTACATATATTTTGTTAACATTGAAATAATATTTATGTCTATCAAAAATTATCGATGGAAAACGATAATCACTGTATAAATAATTTTCCATTTATGGAAAAATCCGTATATATCCGTACTATTATATGTACTATAGTAAAACAGGAAAAATTTTTTTTTCTAACATTTCTATTACACTTTTCTAAATTAAATAAGTAGCTCTTCTGCTTAGTATCTCACTGGAGTTAATTGATAGAGTAGGGTATGTACAAAAATATGTATAAAAAGAGTAGTAATGGTCAGGAAAGGAATTCAAATAAGATGAACAAAATTTGATTAACTGTTACAATATATATGTAACAAAATCTATGTACCATAAAGTACATAGATTTAGTACATAGATAAAGTGTGTATAAATGACACAATTAATCAACGAAATAATAGATAGTAATGTAAATTTTTTGTAGCAATTATAAAGAAATATGTGAAAACATTGGTATATAACAATAATAATGACATTTATATATATTTTTATAATAATAATATATTACCTTTTTTTTATTAATAATAAATATTATCTAAAGAAGTAAAACTAAATTTACAAACATTTGAAATTATTCCTGAGGGAATGTTCTAGCTTTCAAAAATACAATATTTCGATGGAACGAACATGTCATTTTCATATATTTATTTTTTCTTCATAATTGACATCATTATTAAATGACAAAATATGCAGCAATACATAATTCAGAAGATATACAAAATTATTCAAACTTAATAATGAAATTAACTACACATTTTGTGCAAGATGCAATTGCCAGTGTTTGAAGAGATTGTGAGGTGAGAATTTTGTAAATAGTAGAAGAAGGAAGGGGGATACTTGGGGACCTGAGCCGACACAAACTCCCATTCAGCTTATTGCCATTGTCATAGAGTGTTATAAAAAATTTTGGATGATTCATAAACAAATAAAATATAGCAAAATACCCTAAATACTCTCTATGACATAGCAATGATCTGCAGTGCGGTAGCAGTGTCATAGAGACCAGCAATGACTGCCGATTTTACTGTAAAAATGTTAACATATAACATTTGTATCATAATAAATACTAATTATCATTGTAAGGAAATAAGCCAGTGGCTATGCATTAAGCACGCAATCTTTGTTTCAACAATGTGGCCAAATTAATTTTGATTTTGATAAATATCTATGTTGCATATGTGTGCAGTATGCAAAATATGTAGATTTTTTAGTTTAAACTTTACTATTGTCAAATTGTTATTTGACATAAATAAATCCCTACAATGAAATATATTGAAAGGAATGATTGTGTCAGAAATAATACTTGTAATTATAATGAATATCTATTCTATTTGTATAAAATATTTAAATCTTTGATTTTGTACAACGGAATGTATATGAATGGGTATATTTCTTTTTTTTTTTATAACAATGAGTATTGATAATTTTTGAAGAACTTTAGTGTCGACTAATTACTATATTTTCAACACAATCACATAGAAATGCAAATATCATATGTAGTAACATAAATCAAATCAAATGTTTTATGATTGTACATTGTAATAATGAAAAAAATTAATTTTCAATAAATGTTCAGCTTCATTAATTAAAATTTATATTTAAATTCAAATTTATTTCATATTTTCGATATAATTTAATAAACAATACAAGTTTATTACTTAATATTATACAATGTGTAAATCATAAATCTATTGACATTACATTTGTGAAATATTCATTTTTAATTCTTCTTATTTAACACCAGATGGATATGCTGTTGTTTCCTCCCCCACGTTGACAAACATTAATATATGTACTATTTTAAAAACTTATAATTTTTTTTATGTACAATGGAAAGTAATAATTGTTCTAATAATTTAGAGAAACTTGGCAGTTTTTGTTCTGATTGTAAACTAGTTTTAAAATCTATATACAGTTTGGGTAGCGCGTCTTCGATTAACGAATGTATATCATTCAATGAAGAATCCAAAGATCGTAATTCATTATTAAACGAATACAAGCAAAATTCGAAGCAAGAAATAATTAATAAAAATAATGAAAAATTGAAGAATCCTCAATTTTTTTCTTGTAAAAATAAGTTATCTTCACTAGTATTAAATACCAATGATAAAAGTAATATTACATTACAAGAAAGACATGTATTATTAGATAAAAAAATTCCAATGAAAGAGTCAACAAAAATGTGTATATCTAATAATTATACAGAAAATCTTATTCATACTAAACCCAAAATTATAGAAGATAGAATATTAAAAGACACAGAACAATTAACGATGAATACTTGGAAAAGGCAAAAATTAGAAACTTCAAATAAAAAGCATAAAAGTTCTACCTTTAAACCAATACCTAAAATTCTACCTAAGATTTATTCTATAGATTCTAAACACCATAAGACTACAAAACATGCTAATACACAATATTGTCAAAAAATGCGAAATCATTATACAGATTTTAAAAGTTTGTACAATTTAAAAATACAAAGAAAACAGTTAACTCGAATGAATTCATTTGAAATACCAAAGTACTTTGATTCTCAAAGTATGAAATGTGAAATTGATTTTACCAAAAAACCTGATTATATTGGCCAACTCAATATATTAAAAAGTATTATATTGAATCGACGTAAAAAAGTACTGAAAGTTGCTAAAAATTTATTAACACTTAGGTAAGATGTTTTTTATTTTTAGTAAATAAATATGTTTTTATATTCATGTTTACTTTTATAAAAATGTACAGTATATAATACATAATTAATTATGTAGCTCCTATGTTGAGGATACTTGCAAGACCATATTAGAAACAGAAGTTATAAATCCAGATATAAAAAATACAGATACAAATACAAATTTAAGTGAAAAAGTAGATAAAAGTACTAGTCCACTTTTATCTTCTGAGATCAGTCTTGCTGTAACAAATCTTACACAAACTAAAGCAAATAGTCATGACATGTACACATACAATCCATATCGTTCTAAAAATAATTCATATAAAAAAATATAATTATATTATTGTATTGAAATATATATAAATGATTCATTTCATTAGAATGGAAAAAATAACTTATTTATTTCAAAGAATAGAAACATTTATCTTCCGCACTTAATTACACCATATCAAAGTCATCTCTCTGTAAAATAGATAACATAAAATTAAAAAAAATGACATATATTAAATAAAAAGTGTGCATTAATGTTTTATGAAATACTTACAGCATCATTGTATTCTAATACATGCTTTTTAATAGCAGAAGTATCTACCCATGTTACAAAATCTTCAAGATTTCTGGAATAGTAACATAGTTATTTTCTTATTAACAGTCCTCTATTTATATAATATTAATATCTTATATTAATATGTTAATTTGTTTATTACCTTGTTACTAAAAACGCTGGATCTTTTACTATTTCTGTCCCCACTCTGACATGTCCTTGTTCGATTAATTGCGTTGCCATTTTTAAATTTTCACTCATTTTATTATGAACCATGATAATCGGCAATCGTCTTTTGCAAAAAGAACTTGCAGATACTCTTTGTGTAAGAGATAAATCCCATTTGGTAGATATTAAACCAATCATATATAATTTTTCCAATAACAATGCACTTTGTTCTATGCGAAATGGATTATCAGCATCGAGCTCCTTAATTTTCTCTCCTAATTCTCGAATTTGACGTGACAATTTGTTATATCTATGAAATGAAAATATTCAAGTTACAAATCTCATACTGAACATATATTTTAGATTAAATGTTTCAAATATTATGCAGAATAATAATTTATATACTTTGTATAATCACTTCTTTTTTGAATTCTAAAACGTCTCAAAACTTTGACTTCATGTAAATTATTATCTGCTTCCCAAGAAATAAAATCAACTTTCTTTAATAATTTCTGCTCATGATATTTTAATTTTCGCACCATATTTTATAATAATTTAATAAAAACGTGACAATAAAACTTTCTTAACTGAAATAACGAGGTTAAAAACGCATGTGCAATCAGGATTACCAACTTGTCAAGAATTCATTTATTTCTTCGTAAAGTATATAGAGTATTGTGTGCTTTAATTTCGAAGTATTAATAAAATATTAATAAGCCTTAATAAAATCTTAAATTTCTTCATTAAAAAGCTACATAAGGTGAATAAATATATAAAACTAATTAATTTAATATTGTTTTTTTATATATATATAATACATATATGTATTATAATGTAATATATATGTTTTTGAATGATATATTTTAATATTGCATCGAAATCAATAAATAAACATTATCAATTTAATATTAGATATATATGTATATTTACTTATTATAAATAAAAAGATAGAAAATACGCCACTTTTTAATATTATTAAAAATGTAATATTTGAGATTTATAATAAATATCTTCTTTTCAGATTTTGTGTTGATAGGTTAAAAACTATACCAAAAATTTCACGTCACTCTATATATTCGTTAGGTTATGATGCTTTTAACATACATTATTATTTAATATATTATTATTCTTCTACACATTACAGAAAACAAATATGAGAATAGGAACCAACCTACATGATTTATAAAATTATTTTAACAATAGAATTGAACGTATATTAGGCACTGCATATATAAAAATATATTGGTTGTCATTGTGTGCAAATGAATAAGAATAATCAAATACATAATGTAGAATTAATTGCATTTATGTTAATATTACGTAAATGAAGGGTTTATTGGTGGTATTAATATTATTTTTAATTTATTATATATAGAAATAAAAATTTAAATCATAACTTATATTTTAACGCAATTGACTTAACATAATTCTTTAAATGTTAGTATAAATTAATATAAATTGATATAAATGATATCATTTATCGAATATTCGAATTGTAGCATACTTTGGTTCTTGTAAATCGAAAAGCACGAGTAAATATATATTTCAGCGATCATAAAGTGATGCTATAGGACATAGTTAATAAAAACATTATCCTTCTTTAAGTTTTGTCGGAATTAACAAAATATTTGTTTTATAGTTATACAATGATCTTCTCATTGGAAGCCCATTCACATTTGCAAGGAAGAACATGTCAACATTGATGTGGAATTAAAAAATAAAAACCTATAATATATATATACTATCATATAATATAAGAGCTTATATACTATAATAATTTGTTCCTAATACAATTGTCTATATATAATGTACTATATAAAGTATACAGAGAGTATAATTCATATCACAAGTAAAAAATAAGCTAATTTTTTTCACAATATATCAGTACCAACTTTAGAAGATTAAATTCTATATGAATAGGTAATCAATATTTATTAATAATAAATTCATGTTTAATTTTTTGACTATATTTATATAGCCGCGTTTGATGACCGTTGCAATCAATTGTTTAGTTAGCACCTTTCTTTTAATTCAATGCAAGATATAAAAATTATCTTTCCTCAAGTTGTTATGAATGATACTTAATTGTAATAACCTACTAGAATTTTTAATTTTATCTATTAGAAAATGAATATATTTTTTGCATTGAATTATATATTTAGTTCTTAGTAGATATTGTTTATAATGTTATGTATTTTATCAACAAAGAGAAGAAAAAATAAAAAAAAGAAAAATTGGGAAAAGATGTAATTACAATTATTTGTCTTTAGAGGTTATTATTACAGAGAAGATCTATATTTTTCTTCTTATTTTTATCATTGCAATATATTCTCAATAATATGTGTATAATAGATAATAAGAGGAAGAAAAATTTTTGATTTTTATAAAATTGTGCAATAAAAATGTAATTGTAATCAGACTAATTTTTGATTAATTTACAATATTCAAAGGAAGCTAAGTATACAATAATTCTTTTATATTCGCTTTTGGAGTATGACAAAATGTATCTGTCAGGGGATGCAAAATTATTATTAAATTTGTAATAGAGCAATACAGGCACAACAAACATGTAATAGAATTTTCTAAACAACAATAAAAAAACTTTTGGAAGATGTAGTGATATTTGAATGATATTAAATACGCAATGAATAGCTTATATCTAATGCTATAATTTTGTATCTTCAGATCATAACGTTCAACAAACTATATAAAGATGTTCAATCTTTAGGATCAATTTAATGGGTTTACTATTATTTACATAGCTTAGATGGAAAAAAGCATGTAAATTAATTAAATCAATAGTAAACTACAATACTTATTATATTACTGTAAAGCATATAATAATCACATTCATTTTATTAAATAAAAAAATAATTCATTTTATCAAAACAAAATTTTTTTTTTAATTTATTGCATAATTATAGTTTAAGCGACATATGTATTGTATGTGCACTCGTAATTATGTAGCAAAGCCAATTATTGGTTTATTATAAAATTTTCAATTTCTTTTTATGGTATATAATTTAACATGAAGTACACCGTTATAGTTATTATATCGATAAATGAATAAATTAAAAAAAATTTGCGTCTGTAATACAATAACATAGAGAGCATTTTGTCATGAAAATTTCTTAGAAACTTCTTTTCAATATATCAAGCATAGAAAAGTATATATATTCATTATATTATAACATTATTACATAAATACTGAAAACTACAAACTATTTAATTATTATAAAATAAATTCGATCATAGATAAACTAATTCTATAAATTAATTTTATAATTATCTTTTAGAGAGATAATAGTGATAAGCACAAAGTTTCAAATACTACATATGTATTGCATAATATTTGTTTAGTCTTTTCCAATGTAAAAGAAAACAAAATTAATCTGCTTACAGTGCTTATACTAATAAAAAGTTTAAATAATTGAATCAAACAAAAGATCTCTCTATATCATATATTGCAGGCTATACAAATTTTTAATATATAAAATGTTTGGCTACAGCTTATTTTTTTTTTCTTTTCTCTTTCTTTTCTCCCCGTTTCTGAAACTGATTACGAGTGCATAAAATTTTTTGCAAAGTAGCTCCTGTTAGTTCAATTATGTACATGAAGGTCTATAAAAATTCATTTTATCTTTCGATATAGTTGCACATTTTAATCCTAGAGACAGTTACTACCTGATTTAGTAAAGAGGAGCTTCATCCGCAGATATAGCTAATTCTTCATCACTCCAGTCTCCACTGCCTAGACCCATTGAACCATGGAAACTTTGTGATCTAGCTACATGGCTAAAAAATAATACATAATAAGTAAATTTATCATTCCTTGAATAAAACAAGAATTGAAGCTTTAATTATTCATACTGCTTAAAACATAAAATTTCTTTTCAATGCCACTGGCAAATGCAAAATAAAGTTTAATACAAAACTGAAAAAAGAAAGAAAATAATTAAAAACTAATAAAAATGTTAATCCAAATAAATTATTAAATATAAGTATTCGTTTTCTTAAATTTAGTTTGTTAAAGAAACAAATTTTTATCATAAAAGCGAAATATTATAGTTTACATATAAAGAGGAATATCAATCTATTGCTTTATAGATATTTCACTGAAAAATACACACACACACGAGCGCGCGCCAACACACACACACACACACACACAACCATAAAAGCTCTAACATGACTAAAATTTTGGCAAAGTGAAACGAAATTACAGCGTTGTGCATCCTATTGAGTTTCTTATTGCAATTGATAGACACATAATATTGATGAAGTAAAAGCACTCAATGGATATTATAAATATGTTATGAAAAAAATTAGTGCTTATTAAATTGACCAGGAATCGATAGTGAACAAATAAAATTCTATTAACAGATTCGTCCCAGATAGTTTATACAATGAACACTTCTTGATTCCTGGATGCAACGAATGTAAACAACGAGCAGAATCAGGAAGCAGAGTTATTACTTATTGATTTTTTCGAGAAATTTGTCGTATGTAAAAATAGTCATCGATCCCAGATAATCATATCTCTTGAAAAAATCTATAAGTTCATTAAATTCAAACAAGTTTTTATCGTACCACTTGCTTGCATCGACGATCTCTATCTTTATATTATCGATCGCTATCAGTCCTACCAACATAGTGAAATGATTACTTATATGATTAATAAGACAATGAAATGAAAGTTTTTATATTTCCTTTTACGACAAAGAAAATATTTCAAACTATACCTTGGTGAGAGATTGGAATTAGTGCATTTCTTTGATAAACTAGCTTTCTTTCGTCCTTCTAGTGCTGCTTTCATAGGATCATAACTTTTACGACGTTTCCAATTTTGCATTTCTACTTCTCTTGCATTTGGTGTAACAGGCTTCTTTGTTTCCTTTGGTTTACCTTTAAGGCCCTAAAATATATGTTTCATTAATATGAACACACACATATAGATACATACTACAAAGGTTTATAAATGTTTGGGAATAAAACTTACAGCACTTGAGATTCTATTAGCTCGCATGCTGAAACGTCCTGAATCAGTTCTATTTATACTAGTGTTATGTTCTAACTTTGCACGTGTTTCCTGTGCAACTTTGGGTTTATTCATACTTGAATTCATTGATTTTGTTGGTTGTGGTTCTAGCCTTCCCCTACGTAAACTACATATAACGTTAATACATATTGATAGAATTTATCTAATGTACAAAAATTATATTATATATTTACCTAAATGCTCTATTATATTTAGTATTAGAAATTGGGGGTTGTGTAACGTGTTGTTCATCACTTGTTTCTGTGTCGCTAGGTTGATGCGTTACTTTTGACGTACTTTGATGTAAACTTTGACTGGTATCGTCATCACTTTCATTGTCAGAATCTGCTAACGAGGGATTATATCCTGTCATACGTGCTGACATTGCTGAGACAACATTTTGAGTTGTTTGTAAATATGATGAAGTTTCTAAATCGCTATCACTTTCCTATATGAATTCAAAGAAATGAATTCAAAATATATTGAATTACAAGAATCATAAAATATATTTTTTTCAAAATGCTTGAAAATATATTTCCATACCAATTGCACGTTACACGGAGGAGGTGCTTGATTTTCATCTTGAGAGTAATTTAATTCATTATCAGACCACTCATTTGCTAATGAAAGAGTACCACCAGTTCCATGAAAACTAGCTGAGCGTAACACAGAATTATCATGACTAAAAAAAATTTATGTTAAAATCTATTGATATAAATTTAATTGAAAACATTGATTTTTGCAATAAATACATACTTTCCGGAGCTATCTTCAGTACTGTGATGTTTTTTCGAACCATCAACAAGCTTTTTTCTTCCTTCTGCAGCTGCTTTCATTGGATCATAACTTTTTCTTCTTTTCCAATTTTGAAACTCTACCTCTTTTGATGTAAGCGTTGAATTACTTCTGCCAGAATTTTTAGTTTCTTTGTTAGATTTCTGTGCACTTCTTTGTCCAGTAGAAGCATGCTGCAGATAATAATAATATTTTATATTTTGATGTTTATTTTTAGATTCTATTTCTTAACTTTTAAGCTTACATAAGAACTTTTTGGTGCTCTTATGCTTATTCTGCCAGCATCATTCCTGGAGATAGATGGTGTTCTAGATTTGGAGGGTTCTGATGCTTTTAATGCATCTTTATTGAAAGCACTAACACTACTTGTTCTCCCACGTTGATAACTTTGTTGTTTATTTATTGATGTTGTAGTCTTAACATCAGTCTGAGCTTTTCGACGTCTTTCTTCCGGCGTCGTATTTGGTGTTGTATCAGATTCACAATTTAATCTATAAATGTTATAATTATGTTTTATTAAAATATTGATAATGATTTTTTGTTCAATAATATATATATAAATATGTTTGTAAGAAATTTATTATTTTGCCAATACCTTGCTCTTCTTATGCTAAATGCTCTATTCAATTTAATCCCAGAAGAAATAGGATGTATAGGAGATTTTGATTGTTGTTCTCCAGTTTCACTGCTACTATCGGAAGCAACAAGAAATCTATTCCTAGTAGAAATTCTATCCATATCACTACTATTAAAGCTACTATGTCGAGATAGTAGTATGGCTTGAGATTTTAAATTTCCAATACTAGCATTACTTGATGATCTTTGTATGTTTAATTGCCGTTGCAATTCAAGAAAATTTCGTGGTATCCCAGAACTTATACAAATTTCTTTATTATGAACAGAACCTCCTTCATGATAATTTGTAGCACTATTCGATTTTCTTAACATATATGGACTAAAGATGTACAGCATAGATTAGAACATCTATAGAAATTAAATTCTAATGTATAAAAATATATGTAATAATGATAAATACCTATTTTCAACGCAAGTAAAATATCCTATATTTTTTGCTTGTGGCATAGATTTCGTCAAATGTTTAGCTCTTTCTAACATAGGCGAATTAATAATTTTCATTGATGATGTTTTACGAGATGCAATAGGACTGTTTGTTAATTTTGGTGTAGATGGCCTTAGGCGATTTAAAACAGGACTATTGGTATGTTTGGCATCATCCTTGGTAGAATATTTCATACTATTTTTTCTGGACGTGTTTGATTCTGTAGTATCGGAAGTATAATCTTTTCTGTAATAATATATGAATATTTTTTAATGAGAGGATTACTACATTCACATGTAAGTAATTTATTATTTAAATTACCTATCCAAGGAACTACTTCTCCTTCCCAAATAATGAGATGCTAAAGTTCGGGACGGACTCTTTAATAGTTCTGTACCACCATCTTCAGTCTTTGATTTATCTGAGTTATAATATTTACGAACACTTCTTCGATTATCATTGGTATTAATTCTTCTGAATAAAGATTCAGACAAACTACTACGCCTTGCTAAAGAATTATGTACTGGTGTACGTTGTGAGCTGTGTGGTGGTGTATTATAACTATTGCTTGTGTCCTCGTCAGATTCACCACCCGAGTCAATTAAGCTATGTTGGTTTGATATTAAATCTATTCTTTCCTTTATCCGTAAATATGATTCTGTATCCATATTGTTATCGCTTGGTTCCTGTATAAATTTTAAATATTTATATTTGAATTAATTTTCTATCTACATTTTTATAAATACATACATGTCGATAACGTGCCATTCTTGGACTTTTAGAATGTATTGGAGATGGTATCTTTGATGGACTTAAAGGAGGAGTACGACCAGTAGGACCACCGATTGCTGGTGGTAAAGAATTATGTTCTGCAACTTGAGTAGCCCACTCCGATATCCATGTGTTATTATCCCGTGAAATACTCATCTATGGAAAAAATTCTCATTAGGATATATTGCAATTTTTTTATATAAGCTTATTTAATTACATACCTTAAAACTATGAACATAAGATTCATTGTTTTCTTCTTCCGTTAAAACGCCAACACTGAAAACTTTATCAATATCCATCCTTGCTTTTTCTTCATCCGTATAATCTTTATGAATAGTGTATGTTCCAGCTTCACTTACTGTTCCATCAGAGCCAACATCAATGTTACTCACATTAAATACATCTAAATTTGTATCTTCTTCTATGTTGCTAATATTTAAATCCATAGTACAACTAACACTGCTGGACAAATTGTTATCTTTTGGAATTGGATTTTCAAAATTATAATCGCTTAAAGTATAATTAATATTTGACGTTTTTTGGGAATAGCTATTCATAGATGTCTCAAAATAATTTTCATTATCGTATGTATTGTCACTGGCGATATATTCTATATTCTTTGTATATGATTTTTCATTTGAATCATCATCATAATTACATGCTTCAATATGACTTAAATCATTGATAGTTGCTGATTTTTGAGATGTCCAATATGTTTTCGTGTTTGATTTCGACGCGTAATCAAGTTCCAATGAAAGATTCTGCCTTGATACTTTCGCATCTCCTGTATGTTCGTCACAAGACCTTGTCATTAACTCTTGTTTATTTGAAGCATCACGTAATTTGAAATCGATATCAGATTTCTTTGAGAGAGAATGCGTTCTATGTATGGATTTTGTACCTTTAATATAATAGAAATATATAAATGTTAATTATATTATATTATATTAATTTACACAAAATTTATATCTTTAGTATGCACAAATATGATTATGATTCCGTTAATATATTTATAGACATGCATTACTCAAGGCATATTGAATGTACTTGTGAAGAATACTAAAAAGCAAGGTAAAGATGATTTCATGATGAGTCATGCTTTACTAATATGGGCTTCAAATACACAGTATACCAATTGAAATTTATAGTATTCTTATATATATAAGTAACAGAAATATACATATATCTATAGAAATGCAATCAATAAAAATAGATCTTTTAGAATTATGATGTAAAATGGTAAAATGTAGGTGTGATAATTTATTTCTGTTTATTCAGATTTTATCTACAAACAGATTTGATGATATCTGAAGCATGCCAATGATGTAATTTATCGAATCGAAATCAAATGATTTAATTTTAATTAAAAGAAAAAAATTACTTAATTGTTTTAATTTTTCTGTCAGTGAATCAGTTTTACGTTTTGTATCATCTTCGCTGCTGAAATAACCTTCAGAATGGGTACTAGGAATTTTCTGCTTTTGTACCAAGTTGGGAGACATTAATGCACTTCCTTTTTTCCCACTTACTTCTACCTAGAAATTAATTACAATAGAACTCAATATACAATCATTGTCATTTATTGGTAATCATCAGAATACAACAAAGTGCTAAGTTATTCACCTTAGATGTAGAAAGATTTCGTCTATGTCTTGCATTGTATCTCTCAAACAGATTTTGATATTTGACTTTGTCAATTTCTTTGTTATTACCAAAGTCAATTGTAAATACTAATGGAGGTTGAGGTGTTTGAATATTACTAGTATCTTCTATCTTTTTTTCCGTCGAATCAGTCTTACATTCCTCATCGTAATCTTTATTATCTAAGAAGAAAAAATTTTCTGAATGTTCTTTGTCAATATTTCTCTTATTCGAACTATCATTCAATGTAAGATTCTTTATCTGTGTTTGTTCACTAAATATGAAATTTGTATAAAACTTACGACTTTCCACGTCAAGTAATTTTTCTTCTACATTTTCAGCTGATATAAAATACGAGGACGATTCTCTACCGGTATTCTCAATATTAGTCTCTTTATTTTCTTCAGTAACTTTTGCGGAATCATCTGTTAAACGTTGAACGTCGTCCCGTTTTGCTGTGCTCTCTACTTCCATTTTCACAGCCGTGAGACATGCCAATTATAAACATCCGTAAATAGAAAGATAGCTTTCCTTGCAATGATATATTTTATCATACCATTACAATCGGCTTGGAAAAACACCGCTCCTATAATTATATCTCACCACTTGACGGAACCATCTCGATAGAACGTCATACACGAGAGTGCTGTATACAATATATGATACAGTACTGCAATCATGAAATTTTTCTGACACATCGGCACGACTCTTAGCATTTGGTGGATATCTTCTGCTGGCTTTTACGCATTGGATACGTTCGACCAACGGCTGAAATAAGAATTACTAGAAATCGTTTCGTATTCAAATACATATGTCGCTTCCTCTGTAGTCAGAGTATAACTATGCGCATGCGCATTATCTATTCTACTGCCAACTCTTCGTCACCATAACATGAAGTTTAAAATGACGATCGTGCGATGCTTGTACACATCGGAAATAATGCGTTAAAACGAGAACGTTTAGGATGGACAAAAGTTCACAATGAAACGAACATACCATTTGATTGACAACGGATCAATGTAAAAAATATATATGTGACATTTATTAGAATGACTTTACTTTTTATTTCCCGCAAAAATAAGTGGAAACATACTGCAATTAAAGTTCCTGTAATCAAATGAAATGAAGACCCTCTGTCAATAAGTTTTTTTACTATCTTTCTTACGAAGATCTCTTTTTTTTTATATTATCATGATTGTCAATTTATTATATAAAAAAATTATAAAATAATTAAAAACCGCTTCTCAACTAATTCGTTGTTGTAATTTTTATATAATAAGTGATTTTTTATGTTATAAATTTTATGATGTCACTTTGTGACAGGTTATAATGGGTTAAACGTTTGTGAATAATTCCATTGTATTTAACATGATAGTACATAGAAAATGGAACTTAATTTTGAAATTAGGACTTACAAGTTTAATAGGTATAAGTTCGTTTATGGGTGACATGTCTTTGAAGTATGTTCAAACTGCAGTGGCACGTGCAATTTTAGATAATTTAACTCATGCCATTGTGGGTGGTTTAACATGGACGTTAATCTTAATTTTATCAAAGAAATCTTTCGTACAAAACTTGCACGATATATTCTTTTCATTTGCCTTATCTTCTTTCATCGACGTAGATCATTTTTTAGCTGCGCGCAGTTGGAAGTTGAGTGTAAGCATTTTTATTGATTTATCTTATTTGTAATATCAAAAATGTATTGATGTTTTAACTCTTGTCATTTCTTTCAGGATGCCACGAACTTAAACAAACGACCATTCCTGCATTGTACCACCATTCCTATTTTGTTATGGCTCATTCTAATTTTGAGTTCGACGACTTTCAACTGTCCATCATTGAATCAATATTCTTGGATTGTGTCTGCAAGTTTTTTAAGTCATCACATTCGCGATGCCACAAGAAGAGGTTTGTGGTTTTGTCCGTTTGGTTCTACACAGCCTATACCATATAATTTGTACATAAGTATAAGTATGGCATTACCTTATATCTTGCATTGGATTATGCAGTTTCATATATTATTACCAAAAGTTAGTGAAAACCTAACAGATGTTAATATTGTATAAGAATAGTATAAATTTGAAATATAATATAATAAGATATTATTTTATAAACTATCAGACAATATAATAAGAATCATTTTATAAACTAATTCGACGAATGTACGTCGAATAAATTTATGAAGACAAATACGTATATAATTCCAATGGCATAAAATAAAAATCAAAAATATTTTATAATACAATTGAAATATCAGACAAATGTAATTCTGTCAAAATTGTAGACGGCATAGATCCTGCTTCATAAATGCAATATTTATAATCTAACAAATCGATCTAATCGCAAATAAACAATGTAGGAAACGTATGGATGACCTCATTGGAATACAATAGTAAACTCACGATGTTTACATACTATTGAGATAAACTTTGCTACAATACTTCAAGAGACGTGTTTGATAACAAGGAAAATTTGAAAACATCATGAAGTTTGCAGTGAAAGTATTCAACTAGAGAAGAAGTCGCGTAGGAAGGAGGAACGCGGGTTTACTATAATAAGTAGTAACAAGTAGAAACATCAGAAGGTGTAAGAAGGAGGAAAGTGTGGACATATAACTCTACACAGGTGCTTTAACGAAAGCTACACACGTACATATATATTGTTCATCGATGAAGTATTTATTATATATATATATGTGTATATATACACACGTGTGTATATATATATATATACACGTATGTGTATGTACATATGACTCCCGTATGTTGCGACAAAGGTACCTACGTAGATACACAGATCGGAGGAGGAGGGTCTTTATCAGCGTCGCTCGTTCGACGGGCGTCGCCGTTAGCGTACTTTATTACGTTATCGTGCGTGCTCCCGCTCAGTTCTCCGCGTTCTTCTTTGAAATTTGTTCGGTCGAAGACACGGCTTCTTTTCTTTCTCAGACCCGGCTTCACCTGTTCCAAGATATCGATCGAACGAAAACGTATTCAACGAATATAACAATAGAAGTTTACGTTCTAACGTTACTCTACGTAGGAAGATTGAGTTTTCATTTTGTTCTTTTTTCTTCCCCTTTTTCTTTTTATTTTTCTTTTTTTCTTTTCATTCACTCGGGAACAGAGAAAGAAAGAGCGAAAAGAATAAGGGAGAAATTCTTGCCTGTTATTAACACGAAAAAATGTCTTGAGGATGGTGCTCGATCATAGAAGATGCGACGTCAACGATGATAACAGCTTGATACTGATATCTTGATTACGATCATCAATTTACACGTTAAGGATACGTCAGCGCATTAACGCACACTCGTATTCTTATCGATCGATTCTCATTTGTAATGGTAAGTTCTGAATGTCGATTGTTTTCTTTATAATCTATTTTATTCTCTCTCTCTCTCTCTCTCTCTTTTTTTTTTCTCTCTCTCTCTATATATATCTTTCTATCTTTCTATCTTTCTCTTTCTATCTTTTTTTCTCTCTCTCTCTCTCTCTCTCTTTCACTCTCTCTTTCTTTCTCTTTCAAAAAACATGTTTCGTTATCACGAGGAAAATTATGTGGAGAATTATTTGGGTTACGAAAGATAATCTTATTAATATTCGTTCGTTCATTCGTTCCTTAGTTAATTAGCTAGTTAGTTTTGATATTCTGTCATTATTATTACGACGTTGTTCGAGATGTAATTAGACATGCATTTTCATGCGAGACGGCCCATTCGTGTCCATGCTTAGAATACCTTTCCTTCGCGGAATAATGTTTACGTCGTGAATTATTCGCTTTCCAAGAACTCCTTAACAGCAAACGTAGAATCTCAATGAATCATCTTGCCCTTTGTGAGAAAATCTGCGAAGAGAAATAAAAAAAAAAAGAAAGAAAGAAAGAATTGTAGGACTTTTCTTTTTTTGGTCAATTTTTTGTCAAAAAAGAAATAAATAAAAAATAAGAAAAAAAAAGAAATATATAGAAAAAAAAAAGAAGAGCAGCTCCGTTCTCTTTGTTTACGTATCATAAAATACGAGAGATAGAAAGAGAGAAGGAGAGTGTGAGAGAGAGAGAGAGAGAGAGGTAGAGAGAAAGAACGACTCCTTGAAATATATATTTGATAATAATGATCGAGAAAATATTCGTAATTTGAACACCGGAGTTCCACTTTTTCGCGTCTCATGGATGCACTGCACGATTTCCCGCGATTTTTCTATTTTTTTTCTTTTTCAAATCCATCAAAGTACAAGAAAACCGTTTTCGGTTTGATGATTATGACGAGAAAAAAGAAAAAATAAGAAAAGAAAAGAGAAAAGTCGAGGCTGACCGATTCGAATAAATTTTTAATTTGACGTTGATTTTTAATTACCAATGCTAACGCATCACTTCGAAGGAACTTCGTTGTCAAGGTCGAATGGTGCAAGTCCTTTATATATATATATATATATATATATATATATATATATATATTTATTATATATATATATTCTTATTATATATATATATATATATTTGTATAAGAACAAGTAGTAAAATGCATACACATATGTACTCATACAAACGAGGGCATACATTGTAAGGTGGCGATTAATGTATATAGTTTATTTTTTTTCTTTTTTTTTTTTGTGAAAGAACGATGAAAGTTAATCCGTACGCGACGCATCCAACGATCCGAAACGTTTCCTTTTCTCCTTCTCGAAATTACCAACGAAGATTTCATAACGTTATGCATGAAATGCTTTCATTCGTCGATGGCACGTAAGTAAGTACGTACGTAGGTTGAAAAATACGCGAGGAATTTTCTTTTCCAAGAATGTCCCGGATCGACTAAACTCTCACCGATTCTATCGAATGATGTCACGATCGATCCAATCTAATCCGATCATATATGTCGATATGTTTTTTTCTTTTTTCATTTTTCTTTTTATAGGACACCCTAGATCTCTATCTATACTTTTACATAGCCTGTGGCGTCGGATTGGGTCTACATCTGCTGACGTTCTGCTTACTTTGCATTTTTTATTGCAAAATCAAACGTCTCGCTAAAGCGGAGTAAGTAGTATATACTTATTTTTATTTCTTTTAGAAAATCTTTCTTCTTCTTCTTCTTCTTCTTTTTCTTCTTCTTATTTCCGGTTGAAATATATTTTTTCTTTTTTTTTTCGCTTTTTTCTTTCTTTTTTCGAAATAAATTAACTAGAATAAGATAAGGAAGAAAGGGAGGGAGAGAGATAGGAGGGCTAGAAAAATTTTGTGTTACGTTTTGTTTTTCGTTTCTTTGATATTCTCCTCCCCATTAAAACCGCTTGCACTTTTTGTTCGAGCAGTTTCATCGTCCAGTTTCATGTTCTTATCAGGAACGGTGTGATATTTTATAATCCATTGTACGGACCTTTTTTTTTATGAAACGCGAGACTGAAGTAAAAAATACAAAAAAGAAAACCCGCGTCAGTATGATCAATCAATACGAAGAAATATAGATCTTTTTAATTCAATTAATACCTCCGAAAGATTTTTTAATAAAAGTGCAAGGGGTTAAAGTATTATCTATATCGTTGTCTGACTATAAAAACGTCGTATTAGTGGCATACCCGGAGTTTCATTTTGGCGGAATTATCTACATCTTTACTTGATCTACGACGCGTCCATTCAAGAAGACGAGAAAGGTACGAAGAGAAAGAGAAAGATAGAGAGAGAGTATGTGTACGTATATAAAAATATTTGACGAAAAATATTTGAGATAGGTAAT